AATTATTGAAAAAACCTAGCTTCACTGAGAGCTGCTGAGCCCGTATTTCACTTTCATTGCCTCACTCCCTATTGAAAAATATCTTTTCTTTGTAGAAGATATGATTCTAGTTTCTTCATAAATTTTCCTACAAAAACAAAACAACTGGGAGTGGGGAGACAAAGTCTCGGAAATAGATTTCCAGATATACTCTACCTACAACATAGCTCCAGCCAGGGTCTGCACAGAGACACTGGGGACGGTGTGAGCCCTGTGAGCAGTGGGGCTGTTCTGCTGCCATGACTGTTGCAGTCAAGGCAACCCTTTCCCTGGTGAATTCCAGATGGAGCTGAACTACCAGGAAAGGGCAGGACATCAAGAGAGACATTAACACCACATGCATAAAGATGCCTAAGCGAAAAAACACTGAAGAAACAAAACTAAATCATGCTGATAGGCAGATAGTTTGGTCAAATGGATGTAGAATCATAGCGAGATTTAGATAGGAACAGACCTTTAGGATCATCTAATTCTAAGAGTTCTGCCATGGGCATGGAAGCTTCCACTGCATTAGGTTGCTCAGAGCCCCATCCAACCTGGCCTTGAACACTTCCAAGCATAGGGCTACAACTTCTCTGAAGCCTTCTCTTCTTCAGGCTGAACAGCCACAACCCTTTCTGTCTTCACAGGAGAACTGTTCCAGCCTTCTGATCAACTCAGAGACCCTCCCCTGGACTTATCCCACTGCTACAGATATCTAGGCAAAACCAGTAAGAAGAATATACAGGCTGTTGGCAACATGGCAGGGAGTGTAAGAAAAATCTGTTTTGACAAAGGTATTGAATTCATTAAAGTGTAGTTGCTGGAACTAGCACTGCTAGGGCAACCACAGGGCTTAAAAACAATATGACTTCCACTAATGGGTGAGATAATAAGTTTTCTAGGGCAGAACATGATGTTGAATTATGGATATTGTTTCATACACTTGACCTGAAATGGTTATTACTATTCCTGAGTATCACTACACAGACAATGTGGTGCCCTATAGAGACTCTTGTCATGTTTAAATGGGCAAGCAATTCTGAGTAAAAAAATGCAATTATGGATGGGACTTTAAGTCAAAAGAAAAATATTGACTTCGTGACTTTAACAGCACTAAGGATTCTCAGCTATTTAACAATCAACACAGAAATGTAGATGTTAAAGTTAGGTAATGAAAATAGCTGCAATCTGATATTAACAAATAGTTTTTCTAGGGTGGAAAAGTGAACAGCAACTACTTGTAGCAAACATTAGAAACCATTTGTGTGCAGAAAGGGTCACTAAAAATCCCTCCAAAGACACAGGAAATCTGCTGGAGTTAATTTTTGCAAAAATGCAAATTAGTTTTCAAGTTGTCTTCTGAATCAGTGTTTGTGTTCAGGTGTCATATAGGTGCTGTGGTCACTGGCATTTATGCATGATTGTTATGGTGATGTTTTTCCTTCAAAATGTTGAAGAATAGTGGTATCACAGTGGACTCTTGAGAAAGAAACAGAAAATGCCAGAGAACAGTATGGAGCAGGGAAAATCATACATGTGACTAAATTTTTAACTATGTTGGCAGCATCTGAAAAGGACTTTTCTTCCTGCAGAGCCAGCTGTGTTATAAAAGCCCACAGCCTTTTGATAGATCCAGCATTCCAGCCTCCAATCATGCTGGCAGATATGTCAGAAACATCTGGATATTTTTCAGTCCTTGAGTTTCTCACTTTGCTTTAATACTTTTCTTTACAGGACAAAACTGACTGTACCCTGGGCTGAGGTGATAGCACATCTGTGTTAACAATCCTAATTTCAAAATTATCCAGTATGTAAGATGGATTTCTGCAAAAAGCACTAGATGTTTGTGGTTTGATTAGTGATGAACTATAGCTGCAGTATGCTTATGGTGACCTGTTCTCAGCTTCTCATACTTGCAAATTTCTTTGTTTCTGTATATGGTATTCCATTCAAGACTGATTGCAATGTGTTCTGACAAGTAAGGGAAGAAAATGACTGTTCTATGATGCCAGCTGCAGTTTCAGACAGGATGGCTGAGAGGTGTGTTTGTCCCTTCTTTCAGAGGAAAAGAATATATATTTTTTTCTGAACCAGGAAATATCTGTAGGAAGTCTTAGAGAAATCTTAGATTAGGAAGAATGAACATCAGATTTTCAAGCACAGTGATGCTTTTTACATTGTATTAGCAGGTCTCCGCATTAGGAAAAAGACAATGTGTTTTACATATTCCTTTATAGTCTTCTGCACAATGAATGAACTGACTCCATAGTGGCTAAAAGCCTATATTGTTTAGTATCACACAATACTGCAATTTAGGCCTGCTATTGTAGTCTGAAAGGAAATTTCATAAACTGTCCCAGGACGTTTAAGAATATTAAAAGTGTTGCAAATGGCCACGTATATGCAGTAAAGAAGCTTAACCCCCAGTCAATATTGATTTATTTTGTGAAGGTCACTGCAGCAACATAACTGTTTTTTATTCTACTTCATAGAGCTGGCTCTGGGAGAGAGCATCAAGATGGAACAAATTAGTCTAAATGAGAATACTTAAGATTTTCTCTTTATTAGTAATTCCCAGATGTGGAGTCAGTGCATTGCCCCAAAGGTGTAGAATACAGAGAACTTGGCAGCAGCAGCTCTTAAGCCCAACAGAAGTTTGTCCTAGGATGTATCACAAATTTTCACTTCACTCAGATTAACTGGGATTTGACAGAAACAAATCTTGAGCATCAATCTGCATGTGTTCTAGAATTGTTGCATAGGATAGTACTGACTATTTGAAGGACCGATTTATAAGGATTTCCACATTACACTGTGTTGGAAAAATAGCAGTAGAGCTGGTGAAAGTAACTGTTAAAAATTATTTCATCAGATCTTGTGCTCCTGGTTCTATCACAGAATGCCCTTATCCAATAAATGGAGTACCTTGATGCTCTAGTATCCCTTTATGATTTTACATATCAACCTTTGCCATATTTAACCTTAATGTCTCTTTGGGAAGGTCTAGTCTTTTCTTCAGTGTGTATATGGTACCTAAAAGGGTAATTTTTTACTGGATCTTCAAGATCCTTTCTGTATGATTAGAAGTGTAAATAATATTAATAAGTGCATATATGCCTGTGAATATTCACTTTGGAGTACATGTATTTGTTCTTTGTTTAAAGTAGAAATTAATTTCCAAACACAAGAACATAATTATTGTTATAATTTAATTAGTAGTATTGTCACATAATTCTTTTTCCAAAAATAAATTACTATGCTATTAATGAGTAAAGAATATAACTAAACATGCATACATATTGTAAAGACTTTTTAAATCTGTATTTTTTCATATAGGGTGAACACAGAGGTACAGAAAATACTTTTGTTAGAAGGGCAAGATGTTCTCAGAAATCACATCAAAAGAACAGCAAAAATAAAGGGTTTAGTGATCAGATTTCTGAATGGGTTATTCCTATGCTGGGTTTCTATACTAGATTTTTTTTCCTCAAGTTTTCTGGATCAGAATAAGGCCTGATTTTCAGATAGAAAGGATTGATTGTCAGAATTTACCATTCTCAACAGTTTTAAAAATCTACTTTTAAGAAAATACCTAATCTGCAAAGCAAAAATTATACCATGTGCATAGTCTTTAAATGCTTGCTACTGACACCAATCTTAAAATACTAGCAATAGATGCAAGATAACAATGAGCAACTAAATTGCTTCTATCTAGAAATGCAAGAAGACAAAAATAATGACTGATGGATAGTCTGTTGTGCTGGCTAGCAGAAATAAGAATGTCATACTCTCTCAGTGAATAGCTGACTTTAATATTCAAGTAATTAATTGAAAGGCAATATTATAAAATAAAAAATATCAACTAGATTTGATAAAATCAGCCGCATTTCATAAAAAGTTGCCTTCTGATATCTCCCTTGTTAGTGAATTGGTAATGTATTGTGTTCTAATAATCTGGACCCCTCTAAAATCCAGTATTATTGTGTGCATGTTTGTGAGTTAGCAGATAGCTGGATACTGCTCTGAGTTGATTTTATTTGCTTAAATGATACAGTTCCTATACAAGTGCTTTCCTAGTTCAGTAAATAATTGGGAGGGGATGTATCTCTTAACTTCTTAATTTTTTCTTCATCACCATTGCATTAACTAGCCATTCAAATTTTTATGAAGTACCTAGTCCATGAAATATGTAACGATTACTATTCTTGGTTGTATCTACTAAAATGAACCAAATATTCAATTATGATCCCAAAGTTGTAGAAAGAAACAGTGTCAAAACAAGAAATGGAATAAAACAGCAGAAAACTGGGACTTTGAGAGAACAAGATTGTGTGTCATGTTCTCTTGTCCCTGGATTTTTATCTGAATGAATCCCTACAATTACATATATTCAGTATACTGCTTTGGATGCTAAGCCTCATGTACTTTTCACCTTAAAAGTCATCCTCAAAGGATGACAGCAATTTATGGGTAATTTGCATTTTAAGTGGTTGTTCACCATGAGCCACTATCTGAAGTGTCAGTGGCAATACTGATTACTAGTAATCATTCAGCTCATGCTTTTATTAGCATATGTATTTGGCCAAGTGCACCCAAATTCATTGTGCTAGTTACTATATAACAAAATAAGGACACATAATTTGTCTTTAGGAATTATGTTAGGAGGATAGGCATTGCCACATTTGACAAGAAAGATGGAGTAGGCAAGACGTTTCTTTGGAATATTTGGGATCTTACACCAATGATTTTCAATATATTCACATTATGAATTTTAAAGATAAGGTGTTTAGCACATGTTTCAGGTCCATATAAAATCCCTTCTGAAAGAACAACCTTTTGAGCTGTATAAAAGTTACAAGCAAAGAAAAATTTAAAGTCAAATAAAGCTGTTACTTCTTGATTTTAGTTAGAACAAGTTTCATTCCAGCAAAACTTGTATCTTGGCACTCTCACAGTACAAGAGTGGCACTGCAATATCTTTATATGACAACAGCTTGAAGTAGTCGGAAACAAATCATGATGTCCAATGGGATTGGAGGTTGAATTTCATTTCCATCCAGACGAAGGTATCGGAGGCGCGGGCTGTTGCCATAATAACCGTAATCTTCTTCTAGGGCAATGGAAACTGGGCATATCTGAGTACCATTGACACCTGAAAATGTAAATCAGCATGTTAGGTTATTTCCGTGGGAAAAGTTCATGAAGATAAAATTCACTTAGGACACAAAGTAAACTTCCATTGATGTCACCATGGGGGACTGTTGCTTTTGTATCCATTTAAATACTTTGTTGACTGAAAACAAGCACCTTCATATAATGTGACCTGGATCAGTGAATCACATATTCTGTGCTGCAATTATGAGAAAAGGCCATTAGATGCATAATTTATCCTTGGACAAAGGGGATACTAAGTTAGACAACTACATGATATGCATTTAGAAATAGCTCTTTACACTCTGAGTGAGCAAGGCAAGATTACTTCTGAGGGGTTTTGAACATCTTATTTCAATGAGAGTATATTAATTTTAGACTGATGAAGATCCCCTAATGAAGATCTTGCATTCAAAACAATAGCAGTATTGAATCAGAGGAACTTTTTGTATAGTGCTTTTAATTTTTAACATCTGGAGTTTTCTGTTCTTTGACATTATTAAGTGGATTTGGTTTTATTTGCAAGAATATAACTTGTGCAATGGAATATTTTTCTTTCTAATCTGAAAGCAAACAAATCCTCAAAATGCTACATACATCATGCATAATTTGTTTCTGTACAGGTAAAATTTGAATCTATGACTTCCATCATTACCCATATTTAGAAGTGTTGAATAGCTTGGGCTTTTTGTCTCCTCTAGGTTACCTCTGCACTGCCACTTGACTAAAATGCTTTTTATATTTTGTCTTTAGTTGCTAAATAGTTAGGCAGCTGCTGCTCTATTTCAGCCTCAAAATGGCCTCTAGAATACACTGAAGTGGTGTTTGTTTTTCAAAGATGTCAAATTACTTAGACCAAATTATGATATTTTTTGATTAATCTAACTGCTTGAGGATCTTGGCCTCAGACTAACTGAAAAAAAAGTGACTGGAGAATGTGTATGTAACAGATTTTTTTGAACAAAATTCTTTACTAAAAAAGAGATAGGAAAAAAAATCCTTCTATTATATTTAGTAATGATACCATCAAAAAATCTTCTGATTACAATACCCAAAATCAGAGAAATGTTATGAAGTAAAAATAACAACATAACTTACTTTATTTCTCCCCATAACTTACTTTTTTTCCCCCTCCACTCTATTTTGAAATACTGCCCAGATGTTTGCAACATCTTGGAAGTGGACTCTATCTTTGTCATGGAAACTAGATAAATACACCCAGTTGGCCAAGGCCCGAAGCTTTTGTTATATCCGTGATATCAAAATGTGTTTGTTTATCTTGTGAAAATTGATTAATGTTGGCAAAGCTTTTGGTATTCTTGGAAGAAACAAGCTACAACTTATCTCTATGTATGAATTTACAACACAGAAAGCTTAATAATTTTCATTACTAAGGCGGCCATTTAAAGTTTTGGGTGAATCAACACTATCTAGGAGAAAATATCGGCTTTGTTTGACCAGCACTACTGTTCACAGAGACAAGATGGTTTCAAGTGTATCCTAAATCTCTGTCTTCTCTGACCAAAAACAATCTCACTGCACTCATTTTCACTGGGTTAATTACTCCAGTCATGAAGTGAGGCAGCAGTTATCTAACCACAGGCCACCTAGGGAGAAGTTATTTCCTGATGATGTGTGGTATGAATTGGTTTGGGTTTTATTATTTTCTTTCCATAAACAGTAAATCCTACCCAAACTATCAGAGGAGTAAAAGCCTCTCTCTCTTTTTCTCTCTTTCAATACTCTTCATGGATATATTACTGAATTTTATTTAAATAGGAGGAACAATACTTCCAAAATGGGACTTAAAGCTCTTTAAGATAGGATGAATTTCCCTATACAATTGTGTTATCCTTTCCTTTAAGTAGGAGGTCTCAGACTCAATGGAAAGGGATACACAATTAAATTGGATTTAAAAATCTAGGATAGTTTTTTCAGAGAAGATTAATTCCACCACTTGTCATCAGAATTGTTATGTCCTTTAAACATGAAGCCTAGAGCTGCTGTAAGGGAAAATTTCCAAAGAGGTTCTCATTAATGGCTAACACTGTATGTCTGCTGAAGACGTGCAGATCTTTTTCCAGTAAAACTTACAATTTAGAAACAAAATTTAGATACATGGCCCAGGGATTTCTCCCTTTCTCTAAATATGGAATAATATTAGCTCACAGTATCTATCTTGGCATCCTGGTGTTTTGCCAGAGGAACTTACTGTTTATTCTCTTTCCTTTGTCCTTTGCTAGCACTGTAATAATATCACCTGCTTGTCTTTGCTCACTTGTTACATCATTTCATACCTTCTCTTTGCTTAGTATAACATTCTCCTTTCCATTCTTTAAGAATTCCCCAGAGCCTCACAAGTGTATATCCCAGGTAAATGTGTAGGCATGTGTGTTTTAAAATGCTATAGAACAAATGTGTTGCAAATCTGTTGGAGCCATAATTAGTTTTGGATTTGATTTTACTTCCAAAATTAGAATGTTTTTTTCCTCTGTGCATTGAGGTCCTTAGGGAAGGGATTACAGGTGAAATTCTTGTTCCACTGAGACAAATGATGAGTCAATCATTGGCTTTCCTGGGCTTCAGAAGAATACCTTGTATCTTCATAAATGGTCTCTGGAGAAATAAAGCCGTGCACTTATATGAAGAATTGATATTACAAAATAGCATATAATAAAACATAGACAAATGGTTTTTACATAGAAATGCTGATGTATGAACTCTTGCAATAACAACAGTGTAACTAGGATTCACCAATAGAAAATAAAGCAGCAATTAGCAGTTGTGAAGGAAGACCTGAGAATTAATGTTACAAAAAGGGCTTGTACTGCATACATAAAAGTAAACTTTCAGCACAACTCTTCTGTGAAGAAACTAGATCAGGACTTTACAAATAATTTTCTTTCAAACCTTTTATATTGATTATCTTAAAATAATGACTGATCTGGGTTTAAGAAGACAAAACCAATCTGCAGAACTAATGTCAGCTCTTATTACTCTGGCCTGATGGGATTACATTCCTTGTTTGCAATCTTCTAAGATATTATCTATTAGAGCAATGTCTCATGGAGGCTATGCATTATCCCTTACTTCTTGAACAATTATTCTATGTGGTAAAATACCTTTACATGATACCCAAATTTCATTTAAGGTATCAGGTTGCAACTCTTTTATATTCAGTTGTCAGAATTCCTTTTTTTTTTTTTTTTTTTTTTTTTTTTTTTTTTTTTTTTTGTTTTTCAGCTAAAGTCAGTCACAAGCCAACTTGTGCTTAAACTGACAGTGATTTTTAAAAGTGGTAAAGACATTAAAGAATAGAAGATTTGTGGAAAAGCATCATGATTCAGTTTCACAGGTCATGTGTCATTGAAACGTGAGGCTTGGTTTTGTACATACCACAAAATCTAATTTTCATGGACATAAGCTTTGCCAAACATATTCAGGGAAGGAAGAGGACTGGACAACTATAAATACTACTTAGACACAAAACTGTTCTTAAACTGGACAGGCTACATTCCACTGATTTTGTGTCCACTTGAAGTGACAGAATAAAGTCTGCCCCTGAGGCCTTTGCAGTGAAGCAACTGAGATAAATCTCTTAGTAACCAGGAGGCAATTAAATATGTTCAGAAACAACATCTCTCATAAGCTTTAACTCTAATTAACAGATAGAATTCTTGCACTCCACTTAAATATGTGTCAGTTATACCATTTTTCTTATTTATATGATTTCACATTTTTATTTTGCCAAATGCAGTGAGTGAATATAAATTATCAAGAAGTATCTTCATTTCATAGGTCTTTCTTTTGTGCAAAAGCTAAATCATTATTTTTAGTACATATTTGGACTACAGTGGCACAAAAATGTGTTAAAGGACCATGTATTCAATTAAATCATTATGATGGGAAGATAAATATAGAAACTTGGCTTCCTTCTGTGCAGTGGTGAATAAAAAGTCATCATTTTTATTTTGGCTTTTGGCATGAAATGAAGTACTTACTGATTAGATACTTTCTTTATATAGAGTATGTAATGTCCCTGACCACCACACCCCCTCTATACCTGGATGAATTTGGAAACAGTCCTGGAAATGAAACTATTAAAACTAACAGGCTTCTGTTGCCTTGGGTACAAAACCTCTTCTCATTTACATGAAATTGAAAACTTTTGAGGACATAAATCTTTATAGAACAATATGCTGTAAAAACAGTAAAACACAAAAACATTTTGCTCAGAGAGGTGGTGGATGTCCCATTCCTGGCAAATTTCAAGGTCAGGCTGGACAGGGCTCTTAGAAATCTCATCAAATATCCCTGCTTATTGTAGGAAAGTTGGAATAAATGACCTCTAGAGGTTCCTTACTTCCCAAATTATTCAATGATTCCATGATTTTAATCAATTTATCTCAAAGAGCATTTTAATAGTTAAGTAGACATTTAAAATGGATATGGTTTTGAAGGGTTCCACACTGGTAATACACACTTACTTTTGATTTTGTTGTGATCAAGATGAAGGTGCTCAAGGTGAGCATTGATTGGTGGAATTTTAGTGAGCTGATTGTGAGACAGCTGTAGGTCTAGAATAGATGAAACATTAAACCCATTTGGAGGGATACCATCATCAGATAGTTTATTGTAGTTCAGCCTAAGGAAAGTCACTTTGGGTATTGCACTGAAGTAGTTTTCTGGTATAACTTCGATGGAGTTGTTGTCCAAAAACAGCTGCAGTGTATTAGCTGGAATGCTTAAAGGCATTTTCTTGAGTGAATTTTTTGCTATGTTGAGCTGCATAAGGTTGTTGAGTCCTTGGAAGGTGTCACTTTGAAGAGCGCTGTCCAACAAACTGTTCTGGTGGAGGTCTAACATGGTAAGGTTTTCCAAGTGGCTGAAGACTCCTTCTGGGATTTTGGAGATTTTGTTTCTAGCTAGTCTTAGCTGTTCCAGACCCACTGGTAATGGGGCAGGGACCTCTTCCAATTCGTTATCTTCAAGGAATAAGTAAAGTAGTCTTTTCAGCTTGCTCAGCACACCACTCTCAATTCCACTGTTTGTGATCTTATTCTTGTTCAGATTTATCCATCTCAGATGAGTGGCATTTGCAAAAGGCTTCTCTGAAATTTTTTCAATTTGGTTGTTTTGAAGATAGAGGTACCAAATTCTGGCTGGAATTGGAGGTATTTCTTTAAGTCCTTTGTTATCACAGTATAATGCATTGGGGAAACTAGGAGGACAAAAGCACTCCTGTGGACATTCAGAAGTATAGTGAGACCAATGGCCAGGATCCAGATCATCATAAACTTGTCTCACAGTTCGAGTCCACGCAGAATTGACCAAGAATAAGAGCAAAAGGCTTGTACAGACTTTCAGAATCATGGTGTTAGCCTTGGAAGGGGAAAAAAACAATTAGCTGTTTCCCAATAAAACTCCCTAGTAGCATACTAGATTAACAAAAGGATTTTTGCATACAAAATAATATTTCCTTTATAAACAGCCAAATTCTGTCATCTAGGGTATTATCCATGGTCTGTTAAGGAAAAACTGAAAAGTAATATAAAAGATATATGTGCTAAATGTTGATAAATATTTCCTGATTCATCTTAGACTCCACATTGGCTACCAGTTTAACTGATGTTCATGCAAGTACCATTTCCAAAAATATGAAAATATGGATAATTTTTAGACAATAAATCAGTACCTCTTTTAAACTTGCATAAGTTTTCCTGTATAGATCTATAATCTACATTATATAATGATTAATCTTCAGAAAATATACAATTACCACAAAGATATAAATACTATTGTAATTAGTGTCCCTCCTTTTTAAATTAATCATACCCTCTTCTCTGTTTTTGCTCTCTCTTAAATTATAATGGCATGTGGATCAGATTTTCCAGGGTCTGTTGTCTTAATTGAAAAGTGGAAGATCAAATAGTGTTTTAACAGCTGTTTGTTGGGCATGTTCTTAAAAGCTTGGAGGGAATATGTTTGACTAATCCATTCCCCGCCTCGCTCACTCTCTCATATCCAAAGTTACAAATTTCCTTCCCTAAAGCAAACAGATAAAACAAATGCCTGCTCTAAATGACACAAAAAAATAGTCCTAACCAAATTATATCCACAAAAAGCAAGTCCTGACCAAACTATTCATATACATTTATGCATATTTTAACTATTTTTCTTACTTAATTATTTGCTTTTTTTAGCCTCTTCCACAATTATAATTATGACCAAAATTATCACAGATAATTTACTCAGACAGGAAATACTTGTGTAGCACAAAAACAATGGCTTACAATCTCTGTTATCTTGCTTACTGGCTCATGGAGATTAACAAGTATTTTGAAGTGCAGAGGCAAAAGACTGATAGCTGAAATTTCTGATCAAAATTAGGAGGTTGATTTTGACAAAAATAGTATTTAAATAAAAAGCTCCCTCATAGGATTAATGCATCAGTAAAGTTAAGAACTCAGTTCAAATATGTAGAAATTTAATAGTTTTCAACATTGTTATTAGCAGTAACAAGTGCAGAATCCTATAGCCTTTCCAGCCCCAGAAACTGCTATCTGGAAGCATTCCAAAGAAAGGGACAAATAAAGTATTTTTAAAGAATAACATTTATATTTCACACAGTGAATTTGCAACCTTCTTACTCTGTAAATATTCATAACCTTAATAACACTTTAAAAAAAGAAATATAAAGCAATTTACCTTGTTAGTCAAGTTCCTGGAGCTAACTGAAGCCAGTTAGAAATCACTGTAAATTCACCGCTTTTGGCTGCTAACCACTGTGTTTGTTTCCTGTCCTCCTAAGAATTAGCAGCATATAAAACTGGAAGTACATACTAGTATTCCCAGATGTATTTCCATGCACACCTTGTTAGCTATTGCTTCTAGTTTGACATTGTTTCAGAGTTTGGGCTTACCTCAGCTTTCTTGGATCTTCTTCTCTTTCTATTGGTCCCTGTTGTTAGACTGTAATAGCTTGAGTCAGGCTGCAAGCTGTGTTCTAGGAATACAGCCTCATATATACGCATCAGTGCTTACAGCTTTTAACCCCTGAAATAGCTAAGGCACCTCAGCACCTAGGCAGGGAAAGAAGGAAAGCCTGGCCTTAATACCAAGCAGCCACTGAGCTGAAGGCATTTGATTTTTTATGTTCTGTCAGATGAGGGGAGCTGGTCTAGATGAAACAGGTAACCCAAAGTGTAGGTTTATTCAACATTTTTGTTAGAAGATACTTTACATGCAAAGCTGACTTACATCATAGCTCATTCTCATAATACCTGACTTGGCCACAGAGAATTAAAACCAGTGCCATCTGTTTCTACGGAAATATTTTGTTTGACTTTTATTAAATGCAGATGCTGTCATGCCATTTAAAGACAAAATTATTGATTAGGAGAAGAAGACAGCAAATGCATTTGCTAAGAATTTTTTAATAACATATTTTCAGTTCTTTAAAGATTAAATCTTACCTTTTCCTTTTTGTTCAGAAAGATATTTACATGTATTTCTACAAAGTTATAAATTCCCCAGTGTCTCCTGCAATTTTCTTTTATCATTAATCTAAAGCATACTCTTTGCAAGCAACTTGCTCTCCAAAGATAGACACATATTTCTCACATTAAGTATTTTGGAAGATTTTTGTTTTCCTTTTTAGTCCAAACTTAAAGTAACAGCTTCATATCAGAAAAATATTCATATTCAAAGTCAGAACAATGGCATAAATATTTTAAAGAAAAGTTAATGAAAAATATGAGTTATATTAGTTTTAAAACTTAGTTCAATATTTATTTTAATTCTGTTTCATCTATTTGATTTTAACCATTAAACCTATAACAAGCTATTTCATCATTTTCAATCCCTTGCTTAAACTCAGAATTTCTCAAAAGAAGTTTAGAAGCAGAAAAGACCAAAGTAGTCAAAAAAAAAGGAAAGCAAACCTTAAATACATGGGCTGCTTTCACTGACTTCATTAAGGCTAATGTTAAACACATACTAATTTTTTTCATTAGTTATGTTTTTACCACGATGTTTCTTGTTTATGAAAAAATGCAACCTTACCATCAATAATTTTTGCATTGTTTATGTGCTTAAAAACAAAATAAGTGCTTAAGTGTTTTACTCTGCTAGCACTCCAGGCCCTTCAACACCTCTTAAAGATCAGGGATTTCTTACAAAGCAGGTGTAAAACTATTTAAATAATTTAAATTAGATTAAATTAATTTGCACCTATGCCTAAAAAATAAAGGTTCTAGTTTTAAGCAGATTTCTAATTATAGGACAAAAGCAATAATAACTGCCTATTTTCATTATGAGTGTCACTTTAAGCATCTAGAACTTAAAATGTTTAAGACTTGGACCTCCTGCAGCAGAGCTGGTACCCCGCATTAGTGACAAAGATTCTTGTCAGCTGGAGTCCAACCAAGGGAGATAGGAAGAGGCAGAGACACCACAGTGTGAAATGTAAAATAGTTGTATATCTAATTGTGAGACCTTTAAGGAGGCTTCACCATGAAAAGTGCATCTGTGATTCTTGCAAAAAACAAGCAGTGCAGTATAAAACTGCTTTGCTTTTATGCTAAATCTTCACAAAGTGTGTAGAGAGAATATTGAGGCGCTGAGGTCTCTTTGCCATTAAAGAGCGAGCCAAGTCCATCCCAAATGTTGTACTGAAGGGTCTAAAACTGTGAGTCCTCATGGCAGAGATCTGCTGTGACACACCTAAATGCATGTTGCCAGATGTTTACATTTAGCAACAACAAAGAATAATTTATCTTACTCTTCATGGTGGCCTGAGTTTACCTGCTATTTTTACCTGCTAATCATGTTCAGATATGCATTATGTTATCACAGAAGTCCCTGGCAAAGGGATTTACCATTTACCTTATGGCAGGCAGTAGTACTATTTGTATGAAATACTGTTAAGGAAGGGGTCACAATCTGCCCTTTGTGGATTTAGAGGCCAGGTATTTGATCCTTATCAAACACATGTTTCCATCCCATTCAAAGGAGGAGTCCTTCACTAGGAGAAGAAATACAAAATACATTTTTTAAGACTTTCTTATTAATGTGAATTTCCATTTCTTCTGATGCAAACAAAGCAGAAAAAGAATGACAAGAAATGTCCTCAAAACCAAGAAGCAAGAGTGTTTACAACTGCCATATGTATTTTCTCACATGCTCCCAAAATTTTTTAAAATATTTCTGTAGAGACAAATTATTGCCTGGGTGTCTAAGCAGATTTTGCAGAAAGACTGCTTTCCATAAAGCCTTCAAGATTATGCACATATCATGCATTTGTTGTGTTGAGTCTTCTGTCATCTGGCGTAAAATATTTCTTATTTAAAGGCTGCATTTTATGGTGATAAAGTTTTACAGACTAATAAAGACCATGGCCAAGATTTTCAAAAATGACTAATGGTTTGGGAGACTTTTTGTTTTGCGGATCCAACCTGAGACTCTTTCCAGAACCTTATTTCAGTAAGAGGCAGCTAAGAATTTTGTGTTAATGAGGTAATTTTTAACTTGAGAAGCTGAGTGATCGAAGGCACATATCAGTGAAATACAAAGTGCTCCTGAGACCATGAACATTCTCTCAAAAAGTAAAAATCAAAATCTCTCAGTAAGTATGAAAGATATTTGCACAACAATAAAAGGAAGTGGAAAAAATATTACAGTAAAAATACTGTGGATACCCACCCTGAGTTTTGGAGATAATGTCTAAGAGATATTGTTGGATTTGTTCTAGTTTGAGAAAGATGTCAGAAGCCATTACAGAATTTTTACTCCATGTGTCTCCTTTCAAGCCACACTGTTAATCAAGAGAATTTGTATTAAAAAAGTATAAAAGAGTGAGGAGCATCAACAACTGCAGGAGGTAGTAACATTTCCTTGGGAGGAGTAATGTGCATGCTTGAAACTGCACCAGCTCACAACCTCGAGAAAGACTAGAAGAGTAAAAAAGACAAACTAGAAAGACCCATTGGGAGGAGAAATGGACTGGAAGTGCTGTTTGGAGCTGCTCTGTTTTAGCATCAGAGCTGCTGACAGTGAAAAAACGCATTACTTTCTTTCAGTAATGGCTGCCATATGTCTCAGATTGAATTAGAAGCAAGGTCTGTTAAGCATCAAGCATGTGTATAGTTCATCACTAGCAAACCCAGGAGTGTACTGCAAGTAGAGCTTACTCATTAGCCCTGTGCATTGCTCCATTTAGCAGAGGCTGCAATCCAGGGTGCCTTAATTTGGGCAGTACTTTACTAAAAGCTATGTGCCTTGCTCCACAGGACAATCAATTCATCTGAAACAAGCTCTTAAATTATCTTCATGGTTACTAGAGAAAAAGTAGCACTTCAAAAGCTGAAGACAGT